TCACTGAGATTGTGGGTGGCAGTAATAATTAAAGTGGTTTCTCTACTGTCTGCTGGTAAATACATTTGCAAGTTGTCCCCTGTGCATTTTTCAAGGCCTGCCATTTGATGGCCAAAACAGAAAAGGCAGAGTGTTTTAAATCTTCCATTGCATTTGAACTGCTTGAAGACTGAGGGTTTCGAGGATCCTGAAGTTCTGGAGTCCCGGGAACATGCGGTGGAGGTTTTGCTGGCATTGCCAACATAGGGCTGCTCCAGAGTCCTGCTGTTGCTTGTTTTTGCGCATTTCTGGAGCTTGTGTGGCTCTTTTACCAGCCACATGGGGATGGAGCTTTTCAGATTCACATGGCAGGAAGCCACCCACTGGGTGCTGACATTTAGTTGGTTTCAGCCAGTTTGAAAGCAAGTTTCAAATGTGCTTCTGTGTGGGCCATTGCGGTGCCTCCCCAGGTGGTACTGTTTTCTCCGCTCTTGAATTCAGATTGTTACTGCACAAGCTCATAAATACTCTGTCATTTCATTCAGGGGCTGTAAGGCACTAAAGATGGCTTATATTTTATTTCACTTTTTTTTTAATTGAGTTTATTGGTACATTTTAGGTATACAGTACAGTTACATTCATCATTGGGATCTCGTACCTCTACATGACAAGTCTTGGTTCTCATTTTTTCCCCTTGTCCCTGCCCTCCTTTCACCTCTCCTCCCCTCCCCATTTACAAACACTTTATTTCCATCTTTTCATTTTCTCACATTTTTTCTTTTCCCTTATTACCCTTCCCCTACCCATCCCACCTTCCCTACGCCTTTAGACCTTTTCTTCCCATTTCACAATGTCTTTTTTTTCAGCAGCTGCCCAATGAAAGTTTCAAGACAGACCCAGCACCCCAAGATCATCCAGGTGCTACTAACACCAGCACCTGGGTCCTAGGGGAAAAAATTCTCCAGCATTCACAATCTACTCGTTTGAGGACCCAGCACTGACTTTTAAATTGGCCTTAGCTGTTCTCATTGATTTAAAAAAAGGTTGGGGGCAGCAGCAAATTCCTAGCACACAGAGAGTTCATTTAGCTTCTGAGAGTGGAGGACCCACTTCTGCTAGTTTTCCCAGGCTGTAAATGAACACATCATGGTAATTGTTAGCTTGCTGGTTTATCTACCACCATGAATATTAGCCTTTATCTTATTAAAAGAGACATTTATCCCACTTATGATGGACATTTGTAATGCTTCATATGAAAAACATCTGTTTTTATATTCATCCATCTGGGAAATCCATCACAGTAGGATTTTAGATTTTTTTCAAAAGCAAAAACTTGCATCTTCTCCTAGTATCTACTCCCTTCCATCACAAGATCTGGAAATCAGTATGTGCTGGTGTTTTGTGCTGACTTTGGGACCTTTTTTTGGGGTTTTTGTTTTTTTTTTTGGTACCGGGGATTGAACTCGGGTCCTTGCACTTGCAAGGTAGGCCACTGAACCACTGAGCTAAATCCCCGGCCTGGGGCCTTTTTTTTTTTTTTTTTTTTTGTACT